GCATGTGAAACCTGGGCAATGAATGAAGAAGACCGAAGAACAGTTGAAGCATTTGAATTGTGATGTTGGCAAAGAATACCAGAAATACCATAGATGGCCAGAAGAACAAACAAATCTTTCTTGGAAGAAATACAGGCAGAATACTCCTTAGAAGCGAGACTGGCCAGACTGTCTCACATACTTTTGTCACATCAGAAGGCTATCATGCTTGGGAAAGTAGAGGGTCAGCAGAAAAGGAGAAGACCCTCAATAAGGTGGATTGACACAGTGGCTGTGACGATGCGCCCAAGCATAACAAAGACAGTGAGGATGGCAAAGAACCACGTAGTATTTTGTTCCATTGCACACAGGGTTGCTGTGAGTCGGAAATGACTCAGTGTCAACTAACAAGAACAACGAAGATAACTATAAATTGGGGTGGACGAGCTTATTGCATTCTAGTCTCCATTTTAATGAAATGAACCATAGACTGTACCTTGTAAGGAGTGAAGTTTCTGTAACAAAAGTATACAGAACTTCAAACAGCAGACCTGTGTGCGAAATGAGATTCTTTGCCCTGGATTGCAAGTTTGCACATTTGTATTTTGAGTGAAATGTTTTAATTGTCTATATTTAATGTTTTATTCATCTTCACTTAACTCCAACATCTTTGTTTAGAAACTAATTGCTCCTTCAAACCCATGAAATATGGGAGTATGATAGTTGGAGCTATGTGTCAACTTGGCTGGACCACAATTCTGTGTGGTTTAAGCCATTGTGATGTGGGTTGTTCCAATGATGGGATCAGATGTATATGTTTTGAGCAGCCAATCTGTTGAAAGGGAGTTTCCCTAAGGGTGTGGCCTGCTTCCAGTATATTTATGGACATCCTGGGAAAAGGGACACTCTTCTGTGGATTGGGATTCTGTTGTGCTGCCTACAACTGTCCGTGAGCGAACAATCCACCATTCAGCCTGAGATCTTGGATTCGTCATTTGTTGGAGTCAACAGCCAGTATACTGCCTGCCGACCTTGAGCTTGTCAGCTCCTGCAGCTGCATGACTCGGGAAAAGCCTGCAGCTTGACGTTTGATCCAAGGACTTGGGACTTGCCAGCTTCTACAAGTGTGTGAGCCATTTTCCTAAGATAAATTTCTCTTTCTCTCTATATATAAGCTTTACTGGTTTTGCTTCTCTAGAGAACCCAGTCTGACACAAGGAGTTTCCTCTGTTTCTTGAATCTTCATTCAAGCCAATCCTCTTACTTTTATTTTGGCCATGGAAACAGATGTCCTTGCTAGTATCTATTACAGCATAGTTTTGGAGTATGTCTCTGCTTTAACAGTTTCTCTCAGAAAGATCAGCACAAGTCCAGTCCCCATGAGGTGGAGGTTAAAGATGTCCCAAATGTCCAAACTACTGTGCCACTCCATCATTTCAGACATTAACTCCTCCTCCTTCCCCCAGTAATTTCCCACACCTTAAGGTTCTGTATTGTGCTGTAACACCTCACAGAACTCACAGACACTCAAGGGATCATCTCACGTAGTAGTGGTGGAAGCTGGCAGGCTGGTGAGTCCCAGGTCTGTGAGTGGGTCTGGAGGATCCTCCCAATTCTCAGGGTTTGATGAATCTTGATCAGCAGATCAGATGATGGCTGCTGTCCCAAATGCAGGGGTGAGATGAGGATGAACCAAAACACAAAGCAGGAGCAAGAGGAGGGCAAACCTTCCCAGGAGATTCATAGGTATACCCTCAAGGAAGCTAAGGGTGGTGATTTGAATTATACCCTCCAGCAAGGCAGGACTCAAGATACATTCCACCTGTGTTGCTCCAACAGAAATAACCCAAGTGGATGGCTTCAACAATCAGCAGCTTAAGGCAAATCCCGCCACAGAGCCAATTGCCAGTCATAGGGAATGACTACTACCAGCTGCCCAGCCAAGTTGATTGATACCTGACCTTAACTACCATACCACCCTAAACAGGCATGGATAATAGGATTTACAATACATCACAGAATGGAGGACAGTGGCTAGAAGGGTCACATCAAGCAATTCACAGTCTCTCATTCCTTTTTTTTAAAAAACAAACCTTATTCTTGCCAAGGACATTTGTACTCTTTAATTTTAACACCTGGGTTAGCCACACCCAAGGAGGTGGGTGAAAATCCTAGAGCCAATTTTCATTTGAAAGTATTGAAACTTCCATGTTAAGCTGAGAAAGCAGCGGTTGAATATACTAGCCATGAAGAAATTTAGTCCAGCTCTTTTCTAATGGTTCTTTAGATCACTAATATTTTATGTTCAACTTATGAAAAATGTACCACCATTTCCAATTTCTACTGATTGCATGGTATGACTTCATATATATTTACATTGTAAGCCTGTTATATTGTGAAGGAAACTTGATAAAGGTGTTGTTTTCATGCCCATTTCCCTTTACTTTTTAGATTATTTCCTGATGAACAATCTTTTTTTTTTTTACATTTATTAACATGTTTAAAATGTCAGCCTAGAGCCAGTGGAATTACCAATTTATATATGCCTATTAAGAAAAACGTGAAAATGGGTTT